CTGCAAAACAATACAGAACCATGCGACACAACTAATTGTAATTCAAGCTACAAAAGAGATAAGCCTTTGATAGGACCTAAAGCACAGTTTTACATCACAAAACATTTGGTGAGATTTACAAGGGTATCAATGAACCCATTTTTGTCAGAATATTGTTAACTAAAGCTTGAACTGTAAGAATTTTAGGGATGTATTTGATATTTAAGTATGTACATATAGTAAATAGAAAATGTTGAAATAGTGAATAGTGGTATCAAAGAAACAATTCTATTGTTTTTTTTTTATTATTTTTTAACATTAGATATATAGTATTCTAATGTCTTAGTGCATATAAGTATAAGACAAAACCTTTTTGTTATTTTTTGCTTTAATACCACATAACACTCTAAAGGTATAAAATAACTACCCTTTCTTATGGAGTATTTGTGTTTCTGAAAACTTTTGTGTGCAGGTAACGCAATCAGACCCATTGCTCTAAAAGCTGTGTCTGCCATCGCTAAGGCAATCCCTGGTTTTCCAATCCTGGCTACCGGGGGGATTGACTCAGCAGAGAGCGGACTCCAGTTTCTGCACGCTGGAGCCTCTGTATTACAAGTAATAATTCAATTACTCTGATTTGTGTTTCTTCTAATGTCATATAGCTATAATTTACTCCAAATTTTCTTTCACATAAAAAATAACATATTATACTGGCTGATGGATGTGCAATAGCATTCTTTTCTTTTTTCCAAACAGTGCTTTTCAGCAGGTTTTTTGTATTATCCTGGCATGCAGTAGTTGTAGGAAGTATAGTGAGTGTAAACGCAAGCATATGGAAATCTCAATTTTTCTCACATAATCCGCATGTTTCACTTATCAGGGTAAAGTGCAATGATGGAACTCTTAGAACTGCCTATCATGCCTGTGAAAGCCTAAATTTCCTGTGTTGCCATCAAACCATCACACATCCACGCCGCAAGTAATTTGTGATTTTAATACACAAATATCCTTACTATTATGTCTGTTTACCAGGTGTGTAGTGCAATTCAGAACCAGGACTTCACACTGATTGAGGATTACTGTGTTGGTATGTAGACCAACATTTTACAGCCTTTTGATTCTTTTATCCCAGCATTATGTGAAACATAAGTGTGTGTTTAGGTCTGAAAACCTTGTTGTACCTGAAAAGCCTGGAGCTAAAGGATTGGGATGGTCAGTCTCCTCCAACTGAAAAACATCAGAGAGGAAAACCAGTTCTCAAACTGGGAGACCTGGTTGGTAAGGTAAAGTGACATTTTCTGCATTTCCATCTTTTTTGTGTGGGATATCTAAAAATAACTGATCTTTAGTTGTTTAATTCAAATGGTGTAGCATTAGAATTAGAAAAAAACAAGTTCTTTCAATTCATTTTTCATTGATTCTGTTTATTTTTTATTTTTGTTTGTAGAGTCTGCCTAGCTTTGGTCCATACCTGCAGCAGCGGACTGAAGCCATAGCAAAGTATAAAAAACAACTCAGAGAAGCTGGTGAAATTGATGCACCAGAGATAAACGTCAGCCGTGTCAACCAGCCCCAAAAACCCGTTCCTGCTGTTAAGGTACCAGAGAATCTTACAAGTTTGGCTCGGAAAGATCAATTCTTCTTTATTTAGATACAAATAGTTTATTCTTTCTCTAGGATGTTATAGCTAGAGCTCTGCGGTACATCGGAGCTTATGGGGAACTGAACAACATGGAGCAGGTAAGCAACCTGCATTTAAAGTGGTGATTTTTTTTCTTTCATTGCCGATTAATATACCTTAAAGGTATATTGGAGGATTTTCTTTGAACGGTTGGATCATCAAAGTAAAAGGTCCTCCTAAATTTTAATTATTCTGGTGATATGTTTATGTAAGACCGCCCTATGTGCTCGTCCCCATTTTCACTTACCGATGGTGAGTTTGACAGTGGAAACACTGCAAATATTCTTTTGGAAAGTAAGCTTGTATAAGTGATGAAAACAGCAACTTTTAAACATAGCGTGCATGTGGAGAAATGGGTTCTAGACACTCTCACATGTGTTTATCAGGCGTTCCCTTTCGGGAGCGGGTAAAGGGTTGTGCATGTGCATCTTTTTTTAAAAGTGGAGAGGGCAGGTTATTTCAAAATTTCGCAAAAATCCTCCATTATACCTTCAAGTGAGGCAAATGATAAAAATTCAGTAAAGACTCAAACTAGGGAGTCATATAACAGACAATATTTGAGGCAATCCATATTTCTCCTTCTAGGTCCAGGCACTAATAGATGAAGATATGTGCATCAACTGTGGGAAATGTTACATGACCTGCAACGACTCGGGATACCAGGTAGTCCTCCTAGCAAAATTCAATGGGGCAACGGACTTTTAGTATTATAATTATATATAAATAACTAATTAAAATTTTGTTTTTTATCCATTCTTTTATTTGTTAGCACATCTCTAACATGATTTCTATTCTGTACATCTACCCAGGCTATAAAGTTTGACCCAGAGACCCACCTTCCAGTTGTGACAGACAGCTGCACAGGCTGCACCCTTTGCCTTAGTGTCTGTCCCATTATAGACTGCATCACGATGGTCAACAGGACAACACCCCACGTACCCCAGAGGGGTATTAGTCCGGTCTACTAGATGGGTTGTAAATAGAGCCGACCTATTAAACATTAAGATTGGGTGTTTTTAAGTTTTTGCTGGAGAGAACAGCTGAACAAAGCTGCCTCGGTAAATTCAAGTGGTTCCAAAGTAATTTTGTTAGACAAAATAGGTGAAGTAAAATCTTTTTTTAAATGCATTGCTATGAATTGCTTTTGTCAGTAATTTCACTAATTTGATTTATGTTTAATAAACAAATTTTGTGATTATCTGCTCATCAAGGTATTAATTGAAAATGTTTAATTGTATAATATACTATTAATTATAGTGTATATTCATTTTGTGAATAATCCCCCCTACCATCCTCATGGATTGGAATAAAATATTGTTGCAGCCAACCATCTGTAATGTTTGCTATGATATTTTTTAATACGCTGAAGGGGTGTGTGAGTATGTGTCTGATGTAAAAGAGAAACTTAACTAAAATATGATAATGCTGTGATGCCAAGGTAGACTCAAGCTAAAAAGACAGATTGATTTAAGCCTCTTGACTGTGTAGGAAATACAACCCAGTAATAGAAGCAAAACTTCTATTACTGGGTTTTAAAACTAATATTTCTTTTTTTCTATGTCTAAATTGAATCTTAAATGCAACTGCTTTGATTATTTGTAGAACGTTCCAGGTTTGATTCCAGCCCTGGAGTTTGCATGTTCCCCCTGTGCATACCTGGGTTCTATCCAGGTACTCCGGCTTCCTCCCACAATCCAAAACATGACTGTTAAGTTTATTGTCATCTCTAAATTATAATTAGGTGTAAGTGTGTGTGTACATGGTTGTGAGTCTCTGTGTTGCCCTGCAACAGACAAACAAACTGTCCAGGGTGTAGCCGGCTTCTCACCCATAAACTGCCAGAGAAAGGTATTGGCCCAATTGTGACCCTAAGCTGGAAAAGATGGATGAATGGTTGTCTTTAATAGTGAAAGCTGCACGCATCTGTAGGCATAGGCCACATGCATACAGCTGTAATCAGATAAATATGCTGAAATGTCTTTTTTTCTTTGTAATCTGGTTATAAAAAAACAGATACTTTGACATTTTAAGATTGTCAGGATTGCTAAAATTAGATCGATTTGCTTTCTATATTGTCAGAAGGTGACATATTCAGCATGTTATTTGGATATCATTACCTTTAGACAGAGTGGTATAGGTCAAACATATTGAGGATCCTTCCAGAAGAACCTCATATAGTTTGCTGGAGTTTTTGGCTCCTTTCTGACATAACTGGAGTGACCAAATTAAATCTGTTGACCCCCTTCCCTACACACACCTCAGTGAGTCCTTTTCTCCACACAGCAAAAAAAAAAAATCATGATGCATATTACCAAATACATCCCCCTTCTTCCAAATGTAATAAAGAGGACAATGGCCCAACACTATGCTTTTTGTTTTATCATACTTCACTGCATGTGTCTAAAATTCACGATCATTATGCCCTTGTGGCTTTTGCTGCATGGAAACAGCTATCTGGATTTGAAGTAAAGGCCTCTTCCTTTTGGCCAAGGTCATCCTAAGACTTGTTATATCTGTAAATATTAACTAGGGTGACCAAACGTCCGTATTTCCCAGGACATGTTCGTATTTCACGTCCTGTCCCGGGCTTCCCGGGTTTTTTTTTTTAGAAAGTGAGGAAATGTCCTGTTTTTTTAAAGTACCTTCATTGGACCATTAAATTTACAGGTGCTAGGGCACTGCGCACAACGCTGCGTGTGACGTCACCCCTGAGCCGCGCCAGTGCGGGCAGCCTTGTTCTTAATCAGAATATATAGCGTGGCTGTCAGTACGCCAACAACATGCAAAGGCACAAATGTATGTTTACCAACGATTTACAAAAGAGTTTCCCCGCTTTCAGACCAGATCGAGACAAATGGAAGGCCTTGTGCACAGTGTGCAAAGCAGGCACATATGTCTCGGTGTTCAATGGAGGTGCAAGGGATCTGAAAAGCCACCTGGATTTCAAAATGAAAATATGGTCACCCTATATTAACCTCATGCAAACATCCTAAAAAGTACTCTTGCATGGTTTAAAACAACCAACAAACAAAAAATAAGTTAAATAGGAGCTTAATTGCAGTAAATCAATTGACGAAGTAAATCAAATTATAAAATAATAATATAGATGTTTTCAAGCCTATCTTGATCAACCCATGATTACAATGACATAGGATAAATAAATAACTAATAAAACAAAAACTGGGCTTTATTAAGTTAAAGATATGATAGACTCTTTTTTGTTTTCAAATGGTACATTTGTTTTGACAAACGAGCCTATCAAAACATGCATTTACATGATTTTTGGTGACTGTACCTCTGAGAGTTACTCCCCATCGGAAGGTGGCGTTGCAGCGCCTGAGGTTACTGTTTGTCTCGAGAAGAAGAAGCACGCCCATTTTGCTCGCACTGCCTATGTCGAACTGTGCTGGCAATTTCAGACAGACTAAGGAGGACAAAGAAACGCAATGGACGGGTAAATATTAATATGAACCAATGCCTCTGGCTGCACCCTCCACAGCTGTCTGTGCGGCAGCCGGAGGTTGCTGCTTGGGCTCCGGCTTTGTTTAAAGTATGCTACATGCTAGCTAATGTGTAAATCCTTGGTTCTGCCTCTAGCGAAAAATGTGACACAGCCAGTAAGACCCAGACGGGCAATGTGGGATTTATCCTGTCTGTCTGCAGATGTTTCATGACTCTCCTGTTACATGAAATGACGTGATATTTAACCAGATGTTAAGCTAGGCTAGGATCGGAGGCTAACGCTACAGTAAAAAAATATATTTACAATTTTATTTGAATATTTTATTTATACCGGTTATTAGCTGCATTTTAATCTATAATAATAGAAGCGAACGACTTTTATTATACGTAATTGCAAAATTTGCTTATCAATACAGCTAGAAACCGATAGTAAACCAGCTTGTTATAAGCCATGCTAATTGTCTGTCCACCTGTCAGTTGGTGCTGCTAGCTTAATCCCGACTGAAATAACGGTCCTTTGTTTGTGTAACGCCAGTCTGCTGCACATGACTGAGACCTAACACCTCTTTATCTCTGTTTCTGTCAATACACACGGCTGGAAAAACATCTACTGGGCTCTGAAATGTTGTCACCTTTTATTAGCTCACATTATTGAGGTTTACATTAAGAATCTGACGTCGTCTGTTATGATCTTGTTTTACCCGAAGCAGAAGATGTGGTGAAAACTCTCATTTTGGAAAGAAAACATTTTGAGGTCATTTTGTTCAATCTATTTTTGTTTTTTGTTTATTTTGTATCAGTAGAGTTGTGTGACTAAACGACTTTATCTAATTGGTTAATAAAATTAATTGTAGATTGAATTAATTTAATTTTCAGTATGCAGGTTCTATATGAAGTTACATAGAAATTCACTAGTAATTTATATCTTTATGTGCTTTAAGAGTTGCCGAAAGCGTTATTCAAAATCTTCTATTTAAATTCATAATTTCACAGGCCTTTTATGTGGTTTTAAGAAAAAATATTTATTTTAGACTTGTTATTTATCTTTCAAGCTGCCCCCAAGGGTCATGTTTGCTACTCTAGAGCATATTTGAGCTGTTTGGAAAAGGAGTAGAATATCCCAGCTTTAAGGGGTCGTTAATTTATATCCAGCTTTTGTCAGTTAAGGTGCACTTTAGGCACATTGCCGATCACAAGGCAACACAGAGACACAAATAAAACAGTATGGTTAAATGTGAAACTGTAAAGTATTTACAATTTTTGATCAGAATCCAGACTTTGGTTTTAATTAAACACATGTTCCCCTATCAAATAGTTGATTTTTGACTTGCTATTACCTGGTTGAAAGGATTTCACAGTATGAGATGTATTTGCTATTAATTGCTTAATATGGTGCTAACTGTATCCGTTAAGATTAAACCAGTTTTTCCTTATCATTTTCTTTCTCCTCCTTTATCACAGTGTTTCCAGTTTTTTGAGCTTTAGCATTTCAGCCACTTAAATGCACACAACCAGTGTGGAAATGGAATGCTGTGACAGTCCACCCATCATGCTAAATATATTATTGGCATGCAGAATTTGCATGCATGGCACTTGAAATTTAATATTCTACTGAATACTACTTTCACTCAGTCCTTTGCGAATGCAGCTTTATTCACATTGGTATTAACAAGAAATTGATTTTATATGTTTTGCAGCTTAACTGTTGGTAAATTATTTTTAAAATTTAAAGGATGAGGGATCATAATGAAGACTGAGAAAATTACCCAGGCTATATCATTAACAGAATAAAAAAAATTATGAATACAATTGAAGTTTCACTTGAATTTCTTAAATGTACTACAGCACATGATAGAAAATGAAAAGCTAATGATGAGGCAGCAGCACGGACAGAAGTATGAAGCTGCTTTCTTAAAGTCATAGTTATATATTTTAAATAATACAGCTGCTCCTTTCCTAAGCTCAGTCACCTTTCTTTCGTTAACTTTATTGACCTTTTACAAAAAAAATCAAATTTTATGTTTAGTTTTCAATTCAACTCAAACATCAGTGGATAAAACTCAACCCATTGGGTAAAAACTGTAAAATAATTTAAAGAGTGTTTAAGTATTTATTTTTTTTTTTTCTTTTTAGGAACTCTTCTAGAAATGTTGGCATATTTGCGCTTCTGTTAAGAGAAAACAGAAGTCATTTTTTTCTTGGCCAACACAGATTTCAGGTTTTCTTTTGGTGTAAACTACAAAATCTGATTTGGTGTATTTTTAGTACAAAAACAGTAGAGTAGGAAACAAATAAATCTGACGGATAGCAAAATGTTCACTTTGTGAAATTCTCTTTAGCATTAAATAGATCTTCATAAACATTAAAACCTTTTCTATGCCTTAGTAGTCATCTAACATATACTGTAGAGTAAAGGTAGTGAGACATTGTGAGTTATTACAACTTGCTCACAGACTTAACAGTTTTTAGGTCAGATGCTTCTTCCTGACTCAGCCAGGATTTTAACCTGGGTCCCCATATTTTATTGTACAGTAGTACTCAAAAAATGCATAAGACTGCAGAAGTACTTTTCATTGCCTTCTGTTCAATAACCTTTTCACTCCTGTCTATTTTGCAGTGATGTTGCAGTTGGTGTGAAGGTAAACTTCATTACTTATTAATAACATAATACTTTCCATACATCCGCATTGGACTATCTACTTTGTTTCTCTTGTATTGAATTGTGAGAATAAATGTTTGATCTGTTTATGTCTCCAGAGAGGCTCAGATGAGCTCAGCATGTACAGTAGCAGCCCCAGCTCAATGGCAGGTGAGTTTGGTCAGACTCTTCAAACCCTAGTATATGTAAGCCAGCATTAAGGCAGAATTAATCCAGTTGAATTGTTTTGCTTGTGAATCCATGTTCAGCAAACGGTAGTGACAGTAAGAAGCAGCGCCTGGATGAGTCCCCTCCCTCCAGAGTGCTTCACATTCGAAAACTTCCCAATGAAGTAACAGAGACGGAGGTCATCGCTCTGGGCCTGCCTTTTGGAAAGGTTACCAACATACTGATGTTGAAGGGGAAAAACCAGGTGGGTGCATTTCTGTCCAGAACTGTCCCTCTTTCTCAGAGATTGGTGATTTGATGTTATCATACTTTCTTTTTTTTTTTTTAGGCATTTCTAGAGTTAGGTACAGAGGAAGCAGCCATCACTATGGTGAACTACTACACAGCTGTAACACCACAGGTTTGGATCTAATCTAGTTTATTTATCTCATTTAATTATAATGTTGTTGTTAAACATAGTAAGGTAATTTTGTTATGTTTCAGGTTAGAAATACTCCTGTCTTCATCCAGTATTCTAACCATAAAGAACTGAAAACAGATTCAGCTCTAAACCAGGTATATATATGGATCTAGGATTTCACTTCAGACATCAGTTACTGACTGATGAATGTCATAAAGGATGGTTTACAGTTCTAATGTCTGTTGCTGTTTCAGAGAGCCCAGGCCGTTCTCCAGGCAGTGTCAGCAGTCCAGGATGGGAGCTCTCCATCCTCTGACCAGGGCGTATTGGAGCTGGCCCCTCCCCCTAGCCCTGTACTCCGAATTATTATTGACAACATGTTTTATCCTGTAACACTGGATGTTTTACAACAGGTGAACACTTCTCGTCGATAACAGAAAAAAAAGAAGGAAAAAAAACAATGTTCTTTAACAGCTTGTGGTAGTTTTGACTAAAAAAATGGTAAATATTCCTGCTTGTCAGCTAAAACAGCCATGTCACTAGG